TGACTCGAAAAGAGAAGCGGTTACGGATGATGATGATAGTGATGATGATGATGAAGAAGAAGATAAAAATACTTTGGAATAATTGCCAGGTCAGAAGATTGCAGTATGCCCCATGTTTTTAAAACTACCTTCTGTTTGTTATGGTTTCGGTTCTATCTTTTCGTCGGACGCATTTTACGAGACATCATTCAATTATTGCACGCATACGTGGCTGCTTGGCACTCTTAAATTTTCTCCACACGAGGGAATTCATCATCCAGGAGAGATGAACTGCGATGTGCACTATATCAATGCTCTCTTGTCCAGTTAGTTTGTTCTTGGCTCCTCCTGTACCAAAATATCGAATTCATTTTTCAAAAAGCATTATATAGCAAAAGTTTCTGGCCATTGCACCCTGTGCATTTATATATAGTTTAAAGTAAGCAGAGACGTTAAGCATAGCCTCAAAATTATTACCGAATAACAAATAAAATCATTCAACTTTTGCAATGCATACTGGAGGTAAGCCAGTGCCGGCTTTCAAAAGTATGTACATTTGCCTTATTTTTTATAGAGATTTGCATCGCATATTGCTAGATTCTTTGGAACAATGGAACGATTTTCAAGGCGGCACTTTGCCTCTTTTTTTGAAACTCACTATTAGAAGAAATTTTTTGTATGTTCTAGTTAGAAAAGAGTATAACTATTAGAAAAGAGGGATGATGTGACAATAAGCATAGCCAGAAAATCGATCGAGGGTTTTTCTAATTTTCACAGCATGAACGGAAAGAAAAAATTGAAAAATCCACGGAAAATAGCTGTGATTTATTGGGCAATGTTTGGATGCTTTTGGCCCTTTCACTCACTCCAATCTGTCCAACATCGCGGCGCCATCATTTTTGCAAGCTAAGCAAATGAAACGTCGGCCTGCGTCCAGCCGAGTCAAGCACATCAGAAGCGTATGATCGATTATTGTTCCCGTTTCAATATGAATTTCCCGCATCAACGTCGTTCGACTTCTCAGCAGAATCCCTCTAAAGCACTGCCCTGAAACACTACCACCAGCCCTGTTTCAGATGATCATCATCCTTCTGTGTGAGGGATTCGAATGGCCGTTCACTTTTTTATGATCTCTGAGGAAATAAGCATTGATTGCGGTTGAAATTCTTGGACAGTTGACAGAGGAAGGGTTTGACGTGAACTCTCTTGACTCACCGACCTCTTATTACCACAACTGATTTGACCTCACTTATTAGTTAGCAGCTGGGGAATTTTTGGCAGCAGATTCCAGGGAGAATTCACTGAAGCCACGCTATGTCTTAAGCAAAGCATGGCAACGACCACAGCAAAGATCACATTTCGCACTGAAGTGCCATTAAGCATACTTCCTGCAATGGCAAAGGCTCGCGAGTACCCAAAACGACGGCATGATAGCCAATAGCAATAAAGAGATGATGGATGTTCTTTTGGTAAGGACAAAACAAGGAATGTAATCCGGTTTGATTTGCTCACTACTCATTGGGCAAAAATGGCAGCTTCTAATACGTTGCTCGAAACTCTCTCCCATGCGTTATGCTTGCTGGACCTCTTTTAGCTGAAAGATGGAACTGATGATTTGATTCATGGCAGCTTTCATTACCAGGTGGATGTTCTGATCGATGGGAATATGAGACATGAACTGGGAGAATGAGACACCAACTGCAGTCCTCGCCCAAGCACTCGTACCTTATACTCTTACGCGGATACGCTCACATTTAACTCAGCGACTTGCCTCATTACAGGGAACCATGTCCCTGTCTGACCTTGAATGCAAATAAGGGAAGAACAGTGCTGATGACTTTACGGTAACACCAGTGTTGCTCATTTCAGGGCCAGTTGTTATCGATAAGGGGCGTATCGATTTTTAATTGATCTCTTTGCGGTTCAGTGGCAAAACGATATTAGAATCGGTTATTGCTGAAGCTGGATTATGAACATGCGCCAATATGAAGTTTTGAAATCGACGTCGTAGATTCTCAAAGCACTGCTTTATCACCCGTAGCTGCAGCGATTTACAGTAAGCTGGTCTATAGGTGGTTCTTCTTAAATAGCCGTTTCACGTTCTGCCGGAAAGCTGTCCTGAGCGGACTCACAAACGGTTCGACACTGCTTGGACAGTACGACCATGACGCTGTAGGAGCCGCCGCCTTGTGCCATGTTTGAGCAATTTTGCAACGCACTTCAATTCTGTCGTATCATGGACATCATTGTGATCACGGATAGCATTCACTCAAGCTAAGTCTAGAACTCAAGACTACAGACAACTTTGCATTTCTACTCACATTTTCTTCCTCGCCACAGAAAGGTGTGACATTTTCGTTGCCATTCTCGTCTGAGAGATTCAGGTACTTATTTGCTAGCGCTGTCTGACGCCGTTGGTGAATGATATTTTGACGTACTTAAGAATTTATACCTGCTTCAATGCCATTCACTGCTTTGCGAATTTTTAGCATGTATAACATAAAAAATGATTTTCCACTATAATATGAAAAAGTGATGGTGTTTTCTGCCGGCTCCATCTGTTCCCACCTCGAACCTCTTCAGTCAGATTTTAGCCTGAAGTAACAATCGTTCGATATGTACATCAGAGGAATACGTCAGAGGAATACGACTTCTGGTAGTGAGGATAAAGAACCGGTCCAAATTTGAAAAACAAAAGACAAACATTCCAGCAGAATGTTTTAAAGCGTAAAATTTTGAATGACGACCAGTAACAATCGTTTCATATCTCATAAGCAAAATCACAATGAGTTGTACAGTGAAGTAAATAGTATCATATCATATCAGCGAATAAAATTTGACTTTCTTCAACGCAGTATGAAACAGCTTCTTCAAAGAACTTCCATTAAGCATTAAGGTTTTACTTTTACTCGTGAGCCATCGTCGCCATCCGTGAATTTCTTGTCTCTAGCGTTCTGTCTCTCCCTGAATGTTTCTCAGAACCTCCTGCATCTCTTTCTTTTTTTGCTGAAGCTGTTGTTGAGTTTCTTTTGCCCTTTTTAAATCTTTTTCGCGTCCTCGAATATCCTCTTTCACTCTATCGCACTGTAGACTCTTTCCGACTAGTCGGCTCCTCAACGCCTCGGTTTCTTTCTTCAGTTCTTCCAAGGATTTCTCGACGTTGAGGAATTTTTCCGTTTTCCTTCTATGTTCGTGTTCCAGCAGAATCATCTCCCACGTCCTTTGAATCTCGTCGTCATGTTTGCATTGTTCGACTGCCCGTCGTTTCGTCTGCACTTGCAATCGCCGTTGCTCCGCGGCTTTGAACCGTTGGAATGTGTCGCGGATTTTCAATGAGGTTACTTTCGATTGTTGATGCATCTGAGTTTCGGTTTTCTCCAACTGTTCCAAGATCATTTTTAACGTTTCCCTCAACATCTTCTGCTCTTTTAGCAAGTCATTTGTTTTCTCCCTCAGTCGTTTTTCCTGTTGATCGAACTTGCAACTGCGAGACGGCATTTTTCGTTTAATTTCCTTCCCGAGATTCACTCCTGCATCCACCACCTGTCGAACCTTGATGAGTTGTTGCTCCATGCTTCCGTTGTATCTTGCGTTCATTTCCTTGATTTGCTCGGTCTCTTCTCTTGTTCTCTTCAATTCTGCGCGCATATTCACCAGCTGACACTCCAGGTATCCTTTAAGTCGTTTCATTTGATCGTACTCTTCCTGAATGTGCTGTTGGATGATCATAATTTGTTCTTCACAATTGTTGGCTTTGTTTTCTAGATGAATCTTGCAAAGTGACTGCTGGAAACTTTCATTTTCAACTGTCTGCTGGATCGCTCGGAAGTTTTTTAAAACCGACCTCAGAGCACCCACCAACTCACCTTCCCAATTGGCTGTTTCGAGGTTGATATTCAGCGGTCTCGACGCCACAAACTCCTTGGCTTGGGCGTCTGCTCTTCGAAGGCCGAGTTTAAGCAATCTCGCGTCCATTTGCAACTCGTCCAGCTTTCTCTTCGTCGACCTTAAGCAATTCTCTGCATTTTTGCGTTGTTCTTCGATCACTTTCAGCAAGCTCCTGACATACTGAATCGCCCCATAAAACAACACACACTCTTCCGACATTTTAGTCCTACTGTCGTTAGTAATAACTGCTTTTGGTGAACCAGAATCAATCGAAGTCATGTCAAAAGGGTCATGTTTTGGCGACGTCTCCGCTCCATTCACAGATTCTACACCAGCCACTTTCCGGAACGCCTGTTTTAGCGATGTGCATAATTTACAAACCTTCTGTTCGGTTCTTTTGATCTCTTCGTCGTACAGTTCCAGCGTCTCTTTTCTCGTTTTCAGGACCGCTTCAAGTACAGCGGCTTCAGGTTCCTGATCCAGTGAAAGTTTTTCACTACTTTTCATACTTTTCATTTCGCTACGGTAAAGTAAATGCGCAACTGCCATAATCAGCTTATTAGTCATTATTGAAGCCTTCTCGCCACTAGAAGCCCCTGCGGTTTTTTGGGAAATTTCCAGTGGCATGTTGTCCTCTGTATAGTCCTTGGCCTTTTGTGGCAATGCCTGATATAGTTCATTGGCTGCAACGTAGAATTCGGATATCACATTTTCCAAGGCTTCTATTTCTCTCTTCTGCTCATCGATGGAATTCTTTATGTTCTCCTGTGCCTTAATGCCGGTAGCGATTACATGTACCAATTGCTCTTGTTCAATGCCGTGCTTTTTCGCGACCTCAACGAGGTTGTTCAAGCGTTCCTCGTCAGATCCTAGAGTGGTCAGCATTGAACTCAGTTCATTGAGGAACGCTTCATCACCTGAACCTTTACAGGATGAGCTACATAACGCTTCGACAAATACCGTTCTTCTAGCGGAATCTTTTGACTCCGTGGTTTCTTGTGATTGAACTGTCTCGTATGGCAATTCCAGTTGCTGGTCCATTTTGGTGTGATGCTTCGCTACTAATCGAATGTGCGTAAGGAAAACAAACGACACAACGGCTGTGCGATGCGAAGTAACGTTACGACCTTCACGAAGTTTAAAGTAAGGTTAAACCAAGTACATGAACATAGTTAGTTTAACACTTGACGGTCATGGTTTAAAGTTCGGGAAATCGAAAATAGCCCTTCAGTCACAAAACGCATAGGTTTGATAAAACCTTTCGTTTTACTGGTCGTCGTTTGTAAATGCGGTACTACCATAACTCAATGCTCATCGAACCTTTACTGTTCATATCATCTGTATCCATCGTTGTCTAAGAGGTTTGACCACCTGGTCGTCCGAAAGTGCTTTTGGACACAGAGGAGCCATTTTTCGTAAAAATGCTGGTCAAATTTCAACCTCGGCGTCTCTTTCATATAGAACTTGCAAGCACTAACATTTAGAAGCCGAATATACTTTAAAAATAATCCGAAACGCATATTTTGCATAATGCATGAGTCCATTTTTTATTGTCAAAGGATCTACTGAATAGAGTTATTAAATAATTTTTGATCAGTGCTTCGCGCAGGCGGTTATCTTCATTAAAGTCTACTCTTAGAAAATTCATGTCGTTTTGGTTTGGCTGTAAAACGATCGATCATAGCCGGTAAGCAGTTGAGTTCGATCGCTGGACGAGAGCAAAATTACATGTGGTATGCCCAATTCATAGATTTTCCAAATTTGATTTATTTCGCCCTCGATTCGTATTCTGTCATTCTGCCCCAAGCATGGGGCTACAATGCAAAATACAGCCGGGATGTTAACAGACCTGGACTTGCCTGATACACAACTGAAGGGATTTCCATGTACGAACCCAGCAGCTATAGAGCATACGGAGAACGAGTCAAAACAGTTGCAATCGTCGATCTCCTCATCATCAGATTTATGGCTCTAGAGATGAGTGAAACTTTTACAGATATTTACCTGACAACAACAGGGATTGCACCATCCGCTGATTATCATATGAACAATCAGCTCTCAAGTTGGTCAAGGTTAATTGCAGCTCTGAGAAGCACTACTGAGACTGCAATTTCTGACACTCCTTTGTCGACTGGCTCAACTGAAGCAACGTGGACTAATTCATTTTTGAAGGAAATTACCGGTTGAGATGCATTTTGGCTTTCTAAGGAATCAGGTACGTCTGAAGTTCGAAACAGACCAACTTCTTTGCCATTTTGCTACAGCACCATAAGGCTATCAGTCAGAAAGTTTAATGCAATAGTTTATTCATGAGGTACTGAGAGTGCAAATGCATTAGCTTTATATGTTAATTTTTTGTCATTGTTCTCAGCGCTCTCTCCTGGCTCTGCTCACAAACTGTGATAAAACCACTGACCATTGCCAGCAAGACCTATGCTGATAGCAGCCGCCGTTGATCAAGCAAATAGATTGACTAATCAATTGATATTAAAAATGGAAAGTTAATAATGTTGTTCATTCCTCTAAATAGCAGACATGAGGACATTTAATGCCATAACCCTGCTAAAAATGATTTGTTTCTACACATCTATTCAACCTGCAATGTAATTTGTGATGAGTTCCAGGCGACTCCAGAGAGTAAAATGGCGCAAGATACATCTGATCGTTAAGGTGTTCAAATATCATGAATGCCGCAAATCACTAAGATGGCGTAATATGCTGTTAAGTTTGATCGTGAAGGAGCTATGCACCATTTATGTAAAGTCAAAATTAATAATTTTTTCATTTGTACAAACGTACTAATGATCGAAATCAAAAAGTTCAAATTGACTTTACAGCCAGACAACATTACCAGTCCTCATGGAAACAGTGATTAGTTCTTTCCTGAATTAGAACCATAAAACGAATAGAGATTTAGCGATGAACAAAGCAACATGTATATCTCTATTCTTCTTGTCTTCTGCCGAAGCTCAGACTCTAGCACAGGATGGGGAACGTCGGAAGCACCTTCTGACACGTCTTTCTCTGCGACCCGAAAGAAGAACGGTCATGGAAGGTGAAGATGAAGAAGACATCGTGGATATACTGAAAAATCGATAATTGGCTACAACAACGATTGATCGACCCATTTTCGCAACAATCGAATATCACCATTGCCAAGTCTCCACGTGCACGTTTATCTATCTCGTGTGCCCCGACGCTACATGCTTCCAAATCTTTCAGTTAGCTCATGCTCTGTCTGAACCATGGTCTTCCGCCTGTGTGCTTATAGCACCTTGCGTATCAATCCATCATACTGTAGTTCATCGGTCATCCGTCAGTCATTCCATAGCGTCCGTTGCAGTCCGACGCAAAGCTAACAGCGCGCAGGGCTCAGAGTGACCATGCGTATTTGTGCTTTACATTTATTTCGATCTTGGCAAATTGTTTTGGCTACTATCCACTCTCACTAGGCGTCTTGGCAAACCCATAGCAGTGGGATAAATTTTTCCTACATGTCTACGGGTCGAGCTATACTTTTTGGTGCTTGGACATTTTTGTCGGATCCAACAAAATGGAGTTGTTTTGCGCCTACACACTGTAGATGCTAATGTATCATGTTGCCGTGGCCGGACCGGTTAAATGTTCCCTTAAGCTAACATAAGCATGAGGGTGGTGCGATTACGCCGTACGATTCCACAGAAGTTACAGATCCTCAGGGCGTGAATAATGATCGTTGTTTATGAAAATTTCCGATTATTATTCATATATGTAATAGTCGTTTTCCATGCACTTTTGGGAGACAAACAGAGAGACTAAAGTTCGCGTGGAATGGATGTCGATCTCAGTCTTGTTAGCTGACCTTTGCAGGCTTGTGACTTGTCTTCATTCTTGACTGTTGCATAGTGAGTTCTTGGAAAATGAGCATTTGTGCTTCGCTCCTACTTTCCGTGTCATAATCTGGTTCTTACATTGTATCTGCAGGCCTTTTACAAGTGTTCATTTTTAAATTTCTGTTAATTTACCTATATGTAAGATGATATAGAAATATTTGTTTTGAACTAAGACACGTAAAAGCGATGAATGAAAGAATGATGAAGATCAGTTTTCTTAAATAATTCAAGAATTTTAAAGACACTCCGAACTAAGCATTGACCAAGGGGACCAAAATTCGCGACCCTCAGAGCAGATCACGAAACTATCCTTAAGATCTGCATTTGAAAACCTGCAACTGTTGTGCCTGTTTCTGCGACATGTCCGTTTATTCGGTGGGCGTAAGGCAAATGAGGCGTTCTCGTTTAATCATGTTCGACGCAGTCGATCGTATCGTCCGTTTCGAATATCGTCGCCGAAGGTCTGTTTACTTTACCGTCTAAAATTTCTAAGCTGTGCAAAGCATGGCTGATTAAACAAACAGATAAAATTAGCCATAGCCATGAACGTCTATGAGACCGAATTTCGATCAATACATATTTTGTCGTGTTCGAGAGATTTATGATGAAGAAAAGAACATCGGGATAAGCTGACCAGACCAGCAACTAACGATTGAGGTTAGAAAAATTGGATGGAGGTGGTAGAGAAAAGATTTCTAAAAACAATTTCTCAATTGCTAATTCCCATGAACAAGGTTGCTTCGGTGCAATCAGTCGTGAATCGAGAAGCATGACAGCGAGGACAACGAGAGCACAATGATATGGTATTCCAGAGTGACCCCTGCAGAACCTTCGAGTAGAGTAGTAAAACAGTGCGTTGAAGATCAGAATTGAACTCGAACTTCGAAGATGCCAACTTCGATTTCTGGGCAGGCAATCTTTTTCTCGACGACGAATTCTTCCCTTGAACAAGGAATTTATCACAGGTGCAAGGTGTGCAGAGATGGGAGGGCGTCAGACTCAAAACCGAGAGGTCTTGGGTTCGAGCCCTTTTCGAAGTCACTCGCATCGCTTCCTTCTGAAGTTGATAAACGAGTAGTACTACTCTAACAAATTAGAGAAAAGTAACAAGAACAGATCATGCTTGTTACATAGCTGCTGTCAATTCTGCCTTTAAAAAATTAAGCCCTTCTCGCTGATGGCATGGAATGAAGTGCCCCCCCCCCCC